AAACAAACTGCATATTTCTTCATTTTTACACATTGAAGTTATGGACCATCCCTCCTCTCCCTCAAAAAAAAAAAAAAAAAAAAGTTTGCAGTGGGAATGCTGGGTCCCCTGCACCAACTGTTTCATTCTGAAGACGGGCTCCTCTTGCACCACACCGCCTGCCCTATTTACGTATTTCCTTCAATGCCAAGAAGTGCTCAAATATTGAATGTTCAATTCATTAATATACTTTTGGCTTTACCCAGTGTGACAAACTGTTCTCAGTTGCTGCAGTTCTGTCATTGTCCACATCGGTTATGCAGTTTTTAAGATCGCTACGATCACAAAGCAAACCACTTCAAGCAACTTAATGGAAACTGCAATCAGCGCAGATCAGCCACCAGACTGTCGCCACAGCTAAACTGACCCTCACGAAGCTCTGGAGAGGAGAAGGGTCTGCCTGCCAATATCATGTTTTCAGTTTGCTAACAACACTTTGTTCTTTCCCTCATTTCAATGAGAAAGGAGTCTACGTGGATTTGTTTTATTTATCCGAAAGGCTGAAATCTCCACAGCTCTTAAAAATATTCACTGCGTAATGCTGACAATTAATATATCAAAAGCAAAGTGAAAACAAAATCAAAACCATATAGTTGAGTATATCAAGGTTAGTCTCAAAAGTTCGCAATGTGCCAAAAAAAAAAAAATTAAGTGATCCTAGATATTTTCTGTCTGAATACTCAAAATCCTGAGGCCAAAATTGACTTTTTCGCCTTTTCATACCCACAGAAGGTTACTGCTCTCCTTCATTGCGCAATCCAGCCTAGCAGCAGGCTGACTTTCAGAAGCGCTGTTGAAATCTGGCAGAGAACAGCCGTGGCACTGCTTCGTAACACATATTCTTCTGATTGCTGTTTCTGTTGTTTCTATTTCCACCTGCTAGGTTCTCCAGAGATCACTAGTTTTCTTGGTACAATCTTCCGAGCAGTTGTTACCAAGTAAGAAAAATAAACAGTTTAAGTTTCTAAAAGTGAACTACCCTGTCTACAGGTAAAACTGCAGATGGCAGCAGCTTTACCTCTCCGATAGCATGGGGCCACCGCGGGCTACACTGAACCAGAGTGCTTGGGAAGTGCTGGTGAGGGATTCTCCTTCTTGCTGTGAACTTCTTCTGGGCAGAATCACTGCTCTCTTTACAGCCTTCAGATATGCCGCTTCTCTAGATATACAATGAGGAGGGCACGAAGGCAGAGTCAGAAAGAGAGAGAAGAAATATTTAAGATGCAGAAAGCTTGCAGCAATGGCCATAAAAAAATGTAATGGGAAAATTTGGAAAAGACACCTGACCACTGGACATCAAGTGTGAGACAACCTGTTAACACGAGCAGTGGGAAAACTGCCCTTCAACATAGAAAATGGGGGCTGACACATTCAAGAGGGGAGGATTTGATGCGGTTGCTTGTGACACTACTGTTGCTAGACTAGATGTAAGTGAACTCACAAGGTCCATTTTTGCTCTAAATTATCATCTTCTCTTACTAAACCTACTCAGTTGCATCTCCGAGATCAACTGTGGCAACTGAAAAGAGTGGGATGGTTCCTGCCCTGGATACTTCCAACGACTGATGGATTATTCTGTGGGCAACTGCATCCTCAAAATATGACTAAAAGCTGAGTACACATTTGTTCTGTAACTAAATGTTGCATTCTGTCCATTGAAACCAGTTTAAGAAGATCTCTTACTTCCTGCATTATGTGAAACAGGACATTTTATGCACTGCTTTTCAAAAGAGAAAAATAACTTGCATTAAAAATACATTCACTTGCCTTTTTGTGCAAATTCTAGAGTTTATAAATCTCTCTGATGGCCTTATAAATACATTTGTATTATGCTCTGGTACTCAAGACTATCTCTGTCCCTTATCCCATTAGAAATAAACTCTTCTTTAAATGGCGTCAGCCAAATGCGCATCTTATTCATGGCAAGCAGAAAAAGTTTTTAAATCTAGTTTGACATCTTAGTCATTGCTTTTAACTTAAGCCATAAAACAATGTAAGCTGCTACAAAAATTCTAATAGAAAGAACTCTTTGTTTTTAATACGAGTTGCAGAACAATGTAAGAAATAACCCGAAGCTTTAGATAAACAAATTTCAGCTTTTCACAATGAACTATAATTTGCCATATATTTTCATTTGTGGTTTCTGGATAGCGGTAGATATTGAATTAGGCATCAAACCTGCATATCGCTCTTTCAGAATTTGGTGGGTATATGCTGGACCGAACGGCCAGGGATAATCATGCCATTCCCTTTGGCATAGTCTTAAAAAGATTCTGAAAACATCGGGGGAAATTTATCTACAAAAATACGAAGCAGACTCAGAATGCCCAAATCGTGTAGGCTTACTCATAAAGAAAGACTGCAGCTTGTGCAGACACTTAAATTAGCTTTAATTTAGATAAGTAAGGGATCGATAGCAATAAAGCCAACATCAGGATGGATTTCAAAACAGGCTAGTTACTCCGGTGAAGAACCTGGCATCTCAATGGGGCCCAAACAGTCTGCAATTTCTGTGAGACTGCAACTTCCCTGCTGTTTTCTGAGCAAGCTACATTGCAACATCGAGCTGTACCTCCACACGCTGCATGTACACTTTCAGCTTTGGCACAGATGTACTTCGGTATAGAAAACAGAAAGCACGAATGCCATTGCTCAGAAAACGCCGGACGTAGCATTCAAGCAGCAGCATGGCGAAATCCAGCACCTATTTAGTGATCATTTGGCCCTCTCAAACTGATACTCTCGAGAGAAAAGATGCTTGGACTGCTTAAGAACTAGTACTACTAAAAAATATTAAGATGATAGGTACTTTAAATCTAGTCATTTAAATCTAGTCATATAGCGCAGAGCTCAGACCCCGTCATCGATACTGCCGCATTTGGAGCTGCTGCTGACCAGGCAATCCTGCTCGCACAGCCCCGTCCCGAGCAGGGAGCACCAGCCGAGCAGCATGGTGGCCATCACCACTTCTGCTCCCCGCTGGGACCTCAGGATGCCTGCGACAGCCTTTGCACCCGAGCAGGTCGTTACCCCGGGGTAGCCAAGGCGTGAGTTTGAACACAGCCACGCTGCCGCACCCCGCACGCAGGCACCTCGGAGCGCCTCTGGCCCTCGGCCCCGATGATGAGCCAGCAGCTGGCAGCTCTTCACCCGCGGGGCTTTCGGGCGGGGTCAGGAGCACCCAGGCACCCCACCACCGTGCAGCTGACACGGGGCGGTGTAAGGCAAGGGAGACCTCCCAGCGTGCCTCACTCCAGCTCTGCTCACGTCGGCGGGAGGCGAACTTTCAGCCTTAGCAGGAGCAGCCCAGGTGCTCACAGCCCCACTGGCATGGGTGACTGTCACCCCATGGTTGGGGTGTTCTACCTGCAGCGGCTTCCAGAACAGCTGGACGAGCAAAAGCGCATTTTTTACCACACGCGTCTATGCACTAGCGCTTACCCTGTGTAAGAATGTATTTAAAAGAAAAACGTGACTTTATTAAATCAGTGGAAGTAGAAGACTGAAGCAGCTTTGAGGTGCTTCAAAATGCCTTTCATGGTAAAGATGAATTGATATCATATTATCAGACACTTTGTTCTCTCTTTTTGGCTGTCAACCTAATGGCTAAGCTATTACAGTATCACTGTTCTTACGTTATAGCCTCAAATGCACTCAAACCTAATTTAAAATCCACCTTTTGCTCTGAAGCTGAAACCACGTTAGCGGTGAAAATGAGGCTGACTGCATCCAAATCTGCACTTACAAAATTAAAGGATTTTCTTAGCAGAGGATACTTGGTCGTCAAATTTACTACCACCAGAGATCACACCCTCCCTCAAATCACCACGTATGACTTTTCTCTCTAATGAAAAAAAAAAAAATCTGCACTGAGCCAGGGCTGTATTTTTTTTAATGCCACCACTTTTTTTGGTATGGGAAGTAAAAGGAGACTTATGTCTCTTCCCTAGTGATAGCGCGTTTCCAGATGTATGAAAGAATAAGCAGATATTGCTTAGCATCTTGAAGCCTTGTCTACAGAGGCACTGTACATACCTACAGTTAATAAAAGTCCTGGCCCTAGAGAGCTTCCAGTCAAAACAGATGAAAAGATGGGGAAAAAAGAAGTAATATTATCTTCATTTTTATATATATTTGAAAGCAAAGAACTGAGAAAATACGTAATTTGCCCAAGACTGCAAGGAAAACCCATAAATATGGATTTTAATTTAATACCTCCCGAGTCTCAATCCAGTGTTACAAAACCATTATTTCTCTCAAACCAGTATATTAAGGAAATACCATCAATAACAAAGCAAATTGCAGACTAGAAGGATCATAAATAAAATACCACATAGAAGTGTGAGTATGAACAATTCTGATTTTTGAAATCTTTCTCTTGTGTGCAATTTGAATAATTGGCTGTTTCACAGAAGCTGGCAAATATATGCCTCTTGTAACAAATGTCATTGTGCAACAAAAATGTATATTGTCATTTATAATTATCTATCATAATATATTGATCCCTGTGTTGATGACAATCAAAGTACTCTAATGGCTGAAATATCAGGTCAAAACACAAGAAAGGAACTCCCTCCCGGATATAAGGAAAAACGACAGAAGGAATAAATATAGGGAAAACCAAAGAGAAAAAAACTGAACTTCTATCCGAGAGCTACTGTAGATGCATTTTTTGTTGCATATTTTATACTTTTCTCCTCCAGTGTTAGAGAGAACTGACTATCTTTCAGTTGGGAAAAAAAAATTGCTTTACTTCAAGACTCTGCCCTTTCCCACAGCATATGTATTCCTCTAGCATTTATATTTGATGAAGGCTTTTTAAAAGAGAGTAATTCTTTAAAAAAAACAGACTGTGGTGGTGGCCAAGCCATAAATCCCTCACATTGTCTTCAGATCCTGTCTCTTTGGGATTATTATAGGTTAGATTATTATGGAAAGGAAGATTTAAATATTTTATTTACCTGAACAGCATCATAATACATTTTTTTGCCTTCTTCATCTGTCCTGTCCGACATCAGCCATGCCTTGAGCAAATATTCATAAAAGCTATCCCCAAGCCCTCCAATGGAGACGTGATCTAAAAAAGAAAGAAAGAGATTTAACAGCAATGCAGCCTTGGCAATAAAATACCCTTACAGTTTGAAACTGTGCATTTAATGCATTTGAACATCTCTTCGTAAAACAATCTTTAATAAATGTAAGCCTGGAACCTCAGAAAAAACTTAACTGGTATATACAGATAATCATTTCTTCAATTGCTAACTTCTTCATCAGGCTAAAGCACAACAGGTATTTAATATCCACAGTGTGCCATAGGAGTTCATGGCAAAGAAACAAGAATTTATGTTTAACATCTAATTCATGTAGTCTATCCCATACAAAAATGTGTTAACCTATGTTCTTTTTTATTTTAAAACCAGGAAAAAAAATTAGAAAGTGCTCTTTAATTTAATAAAGGCTTTCCTCTCTTAACATGCAGGCATTGTTTTTATTTGCTTTTTTATTTACTAATGCTCCATTTACGTCACTCCATAAAAAAGGCCAGAATGTTTTAGCTCCTTACTGCAGAGTTGAATTTCAGGTTATTTTATGGTATTTCAAAATGCCAACCCATATGTTTAAAAATAATATTACATTTGGAACACCTGGCTGCTCTCAGAACTCAGCAGTGGTTCTGGAAGGAAAAAAAAAAGACTTTGCCCCATCTACAGATGATTCTTGCTATCACACTGCTTTATTTTGCCGAATGTTTCCTGTGTGAAACCATCTGGTACTACAGATGCTGTGATTATTCAACTGCACATATTTAGGACGTGACCCTGCAAACACTAACACCAACTGAGTCAGACCGTTCGACGCTGGTTGCACCGCCGACATGAAAGTCAGTGATGGTCTCAGCTGCTCACACAAGGCTGCACTCACTCGCTGCCCAAGAGCCTAAAAGATTCCTGGCAAAATTTTAATAGGCTATGGTATGATTTCAGCATAGATCCCCTAAACACACCAAATACTACAAAAAAAAAAAAAAAAAAAAGGGGTTTCAGCTTCATTAAACTAAGAACACTAACTAGATGTTTCCTTCTTTAACTTGGTGCTGCCCGGTAACATTAAGGGATTTGGTATTTATTGAGTCTTCAGTGAAAGGATTACAAAGTGCTTTACCAGGACTACTCATTTATGACTGTCAATTTTTGCAGCAGGGAAGGGGTCTGCTAATTCCACCAGAGACATCCAGGATGGAGATGTGGGTACATGTATGATGCAGCAAGTCCGTGAGTCATACCACAAAATCCTGGGCATGAGAAAAGCAGAACACACATGGGGTAACCCAGGCTCATAAGGCGAGATGCAGAAGGGTTGCTGGGACAGAGCTCATGCTTCCCAACACTTAACTGATCTTAGCTTCAAAGCTATGCCTCTGTTGGTGGAATTCAAAAGAAGACAGGGAAATTATTTTTAAACTCCTTTGTAAAAAAAAAGGTTGCAAAGCCATGCAAATGTAGAAGACATACTTTTTTCTGCTCAAACTTTGTTAACAGTGTCTTTTTCCTCCACTAGCCTGTGACATACAGAAAATAATTTAGTTTTCCAAATGTATCCTGTCCCTTTGCCTAACGAATACTTTGTACCATCAAACCTGGGCTATAAGTGGCTTTTCCCACCCCCTCCTTTTTGAATGAGATTATTAACTTTCTGGAAAGAATACACCATTTATTTAATTAAATGTTCATGATCCAAAAGCAGAAGAGGCTTCTTAAAAAAAGGAAAACATCTTCTATGATCAAAGTCTGATCTTTGAACAGCAGCATTTAAATGACCTTTATGGTTTCCTAAATAAATTACCATAGAAACCTCTGACATTTGCAAACTAAATAGCACAAGCACAGTTTCATCAATAATAAGCCCTGTTATTACATACATTATTGCAGTAGGCAAATCGAATTGACACATGCTGCAGCAAATCACTGTCAGTTTACTGTCAAAATAACAAGGGCTAGATGAATTGACAGGAACAATGGCAGTGGTCCAGCAGTGTCCCTCACAGTTACAGCACTGCTAGAGAAGAAATGTTCAGAAACTGTTCCTCCCTCCCCACTTGATGTTTGAGAGGTAATACTTCTACGATTTAAGAGTCTAGGCTGGGTTTTTTCCTCCCGTTGTAATCAGCTGAAAACAGCCTAGAAAAGCAATCTCAGACAAAAAAATCTCTCAAGTCTTACATTCTGATCTTCTGCTATGGGAAAGAAAATTAATAAATCAGTGTCTGCGAATGGAGGCAACTGAATTGGAAGAGACGCAACAAGATCAAATTTGCTTTTGCTGCTTCAGCATGCTAGGGGCTGACCTGCATCAACATCGGTGTCCATCGCTTGCATGTGCAGGAGGCCGTTTCCTGGCCAATGCCACAAGCTATTCAAAAGCAAAGCTGGTATATAAAACTGTAAGTTTTCCTGTGCACAGCAACAAAATCTGGCATTTAATGTGAACGAGGAGTACACAAGAGACAGTTTTATTAAAAATAGGGAAATGGCAAAGGCCGTAAGGCAGAGTAAGTATTTGACTGCTTTAAAATAAATAAGGTAGAGCCACTAATGGCATCAGCCCCTAGAATGATCTGCTCTCATGCAGCTCACCAAAAAGTTGAGTTTGTGTGGCTGACTGAAGCTGAGGAAGGAGGTAACTGGACCTGGCTCACAGATGCTGAGGTGGCCTTCTAACCAAACCCAGAGCCTATTGCTGTAGGACCAACACTCCCAGAGGGAAGTTTTAATGTTTTACAGAGCTGTGCTAAACCGACATGGGCAACAAGTGGGCACACATGTCTCAGATGTGTAGAAGGATGTCAGTTTACACAAACATGCCAGCCAGAGTCAATGGTTATGCACTCTGAGCTGCCACTGGCCTTGTGGCACGGTGACCTGAAGGAAACCTCTCAGCGTAGCAGACTAGGCGGCTTTCTATAATGACAGGCATACTTCTAATTCATAAAAGGAAATGGCCTGCGTCTTGATGGGACAATACAGCTGAGCAGCACAACCTTTTTGGACATCTTTTTAATTCAGAAAGTGATACAGAGCATTCAAAAATATATTTTATTCAATAAAATGCTCATTCTTTGCCTTTGCAAAGAGTACCATCTATCCAGACTGTGGCCAGCCCCATAAGGACTCCAGTACCTCACTTGTACGGTAGCTGCATCCTTAACAAACTACTATATTCAATAACTTCTCCAGTCCTTTCCCTCTCTTGTATTGGCTAACCAGCTCCAACACTGATAATCTACAGGACCATCTCATCTGCCTGAGTCTTTTCAGACCAGGACAGCATGTCTTGCTTTTTTTCTTTCAATAATGTAGGGAGGAAAAAATACGAGAACATTGAGTCACATGGTGGGAGACTGAACCCGAGTATGAAAAGTGGAAAGAGAAGAAGTAGAGTCTCTAGAACTGTGATCCTGTACACTACTGTCCTGTTTTCAGCTGGGATAGAGTTAATTTTCTTCCCATTAGCTGCGGTGTTTTGGCTTTAGTACAAGAAGAATGTTGATAACACTGATGTTTTCAGTTGTACGCTTTGAACGTGTTATGAAGATTGGAGAGGGCAACATATAACAAGAAGAGACTCAGTCATCCGGAAGGAGCTAAGAAGTTCAAATGTTTCAAAAATTTTATTATAACAGTTCTGTTTAGTTTGTTTCCTCAGTTGTTGGCATTAAACTTCAACAGAAATCACAGCTGGTATTAACTGGAAGGACATTTTTATTTTTTATCTTCAGTGGAGCCACATCACTCTAAAAATATGGAATTTGATTCAAACAAGCTGATAATGTTTCCTTAAACAGCTACAGAGAGCACTTTAGATTTTTGAATAAAAGACTTTTGTAGTCTACAAATTCCTTTGCAAAATGATACATATTCAGACATTTCCCCGCTTGCACAAACCATACTGAAAGGTCAAAGAAAAGTACATTAAAATACAGCAAGTAGCATGATTATTTTTATATTTGTAGTATTTTTTACATTGTATAGAACCTCAGATATAATGTGAGTTTTTATACTTTATAAACATTTTTTACATATACATAAAACATGTAACAGTGGTTGAGAGAAGTTAGTGACTGCCAACAGCACACCGATAGACAGGTCATAGCATCAAAGAAGTGATCTACTTACGTTGGCCCCACTGGCCACTGCTGGGATTCAGATAGTTGGGGTAAAGGCCCTCTGGTTTATCCAGTCGATTTAGAACTTTTCGAATATTCATTACCTACAGGAAGCATACAAAACACTAAGCACCAATCCATTTTTCCCCTCCAAAATAGAACAGTGTTGGTACAAAAGTCTTAAAGTGAAAATATCCCTGAAAATAAAAAAGTAATCTTATTCAACACATATACTCTTATGTTTGAATACCTCTGTACAATTACATTACTGTCAAAAAAGATCTTCGTAAATGAGCTCCACAAGACCTCTGGAGTTTGTGTGTCAAGTGTTGGCAATGAAACAACACAACAGAAGCAAGCTCTGAGAAGTTCAGGACTTGCCATACAGAACATCTCGCCCCTCCACAGGACTCGGAAATTCACGGAGGCTAGTTGCCTTAACTAGGCTCAGCTGCTTCAGCACTGTATTCCTCATATACCCAAATCAGAAATGGTATTAAATATTAAGCCTATCACCTAGTGCAGATGCAGAAGTGAATGGCAAAGCAGTTTTGCCTGGAAAGGAGAGCACTGCTGGAACTGAGCTCTATACAACCAGCTTGCCCAGCAGAATCCCACACAGCCCTGAGCGCTCCGCCGGCACCGTTAAGGAGCTCGCTACAAATGAGAGGCCCGGGGAAACAATTACAGTCCAGATGCTCTGCAGCTGGAGTCATCCAGCAGCACAGTCCATTGCAGAGCACATGAAATAATTTCTACTGAATTTTAACATTCACAGAAAAAGCAAACGTAGCAACTTGGGAGAATGAAGATCCTGAGCACCACAGCCCAGAAATCCTAACAAAAAGGTACTGACAGCTTCATTATAACACCCTGAATGCCTAGCGATCAAGTGAACTAGTTGCTGAGAAAGAAGATAAATTAGCTTACACCAAGCCGCAGAAGGAATTCTGTTGTGGCATACAAACTGCCTTCTGCATCTTGACACTACATTGCTAACAGTCATTGCCCAAAAGCAGGCTGCGACGAGTCCTAGACCTCATTTAATGAATTCTTCTGTCAATACTTCCATGCAAAGCTTATTCCAGTGTTGTTTCTTCTTTATCAAGCGTACCAGCCCTGGAACGGCTTGCCTTGGAGGGCTGTGGAATCGCAATCTCTAAAGGGTTTTAAGAGCAGCTTACATAAACAGATTTCCAGCATCTTGCAGCTATAGCTCGATGCCACTTTGGAAAAGAACCATAGGCGAGGATTTTTAACGCACGCATTTTCATCACACTTTAATTGTCTCTTAGTAGAACAGATGGTATACATTAAATTACCATAAATGTCAAAAGATAATTAAATTACCTAGTATGTTTGTTTCTGGCTGTTGCTGGGTGCTACCACCCTCCCCATCCCCCCCCCAGCTCAGATTTGTTTAAGAGAAACTCTGTCTTTAAATTCACCCCTAAATACATCAAATTTTCTACGAGTCTGTTTCACAAAATTTATTCCAGTTCTGACAATGGTATTTCAGCAAATCATTCAGTCCTTTAAGACTGGTAAACTAGTGTTCATTTTAGATTTGACCATTGGTTTTAAACCTACTGCTAAACTTTCGGAATCTCATTATTAATTAGATTATTAGGTTGATAATATAGGTTTTAGCTAACCTGGGGCAGATGCAATAGAATACAAAAGCAAAACAAGAGGAAGTTTTAATTAGGAAAAAAAAAAAAGATAAATGCTACAGCGTATTTTAAATAACAGGACTTGCTGACTGTTTACACACCACGAAGCAAAGCAAAACTGCTTAGGTGGGAATCAAGGGAAGGGGAAGAGCAGTGGTTTTCCATGGCTCATGTAAATAAAACATATCCAGAAGACAACGTTAGCAGATTTTGGAAGAATTAGTATGCACAACTGTTTTGTCAAAGGATGTTTTTTCTGGGTTTTTTTCTTCCTCCCAGGAAGGTTTAAAGCACATTTCTTAAAGGTCAGTGCAATGGAAGGGCTTTCTGGCCTCACTGACAGCAGTGATAATATACAGCGTTTTGAAGACTAAACTTGCTGAAATCACACAAGGTGGCCATGGTGCTTTGCTTTCCATAGGCATCACATATTATCCCCTATGCAATGTCAATTTTTGTTTTCACCACATTCAGGTGAAGTACTTAAGAAAGTCTGATTGTTTAATGTGATATTAATTTAGAACATAAACAGAAATGATATGCTTTGTGGGGCCAGGTAACTGCTATGTACAAGAAGATGCATCACAATGATTTTGGAACAGACTTTTGACTTTATAGTACAAAAACATGTAAAGGTGACTAGGGAAACAGCTAGGAAATATCTACCTCCTGTGACAGATGCTTACAGCTGAGGAAAATCCAAATCTCTCCCCAGGGATATTAGTCTCCCAACACATGATTTATCTTTTACAACATGATTTTGACTGAACAGTCTAACCTTTTCAGCAAAGACAGGGTTACCAGACAGGTGGCTCAAGTGTACGAACTCCAGATGCAAAGTCCCAAATTCTGCCAAAATGCTGCTGCCACCAGAGGCCCATGGCCAATTTCGACCGATTCCACTAAGATGAGGGGGAAGAGAAATACAGAAAATAACGATAAGCATCTATAAGGCAGTGGTAATAAAATTGAACAGGTAGTAGATATACTGTTATCAAGAGAAGACAATTACTGTAAAAGGTACTTAATATCTGCGTAAGAAACTGTGCTTCGGCAGCTTTCCATGACTTCACCACAGGACCCTGAATTACTTCAGTCCAGTTCTGCTCAGGCTTGTAAAATTGCTTCTTGCAACAAGCCAGGCTTTGAGATCGTGAATAGATCCATTACACATATCACTGTACCACTGTTTCACTGTACGCTATCATGTTTAAAGACATCACAAAAACCCCTGACTATAAGAAAACATTCTCATACTTCACCTGTTTTCCCTGTATTTAACACAACATTCTCCAATTCTACCTCTTCCTTCTACAGTGCAATTGTTTCTCAACTTAAAATACTGCGTATATACAGTTTAGGCTTTGAGTTAAAAGCACTATGTGCAGTATGTCCCTCTTAATACCTGAGAATTTAATAGGGTAGGATATGTAGGCATTGTGTGTCCAGGCACTTTTACCAGCTTAAGTAACTTCAGTTTTAATTAAGACCTAAAGATACTTCACAGCAAAATTTATCTCAGGTTTTGTGCTGAGAGTAGACAAAAGCACATTTATTGCTAAATCCCCGCTAGGAACTAATGCTGGTTGAGATTCAGGATGGAAAGTCTGTTAAAGTTTCATTACAAAAAGGTGGGGGTTTTCCCCTTGAAATTTCCAGCAGCAATATTCAGAAAAACCGCTGAAATTAAAGAAAAGCTAGCCAACTTTCTGGAGCATCTAGGTGAATAATGACATATTAGACTGACATATTATTAGTAGGAATGTTAGATGTAAATAAACTTATCAGGTACTGGAATGTCTTCCCTATTTTCAAGCTGCAAACAGTATTACATACACACACATATATACAAATAAAAATTTAATTTTACTTTTACACATAAGCAGCCACTACAGTCACCAGTTAGCACTTCCACAACCATGAAAATCAGGTATTCTACCCGAGTTAAAATGTGACTTATATTATGAAAGAACAAAACAAAGCAAAAAACCAAGAAATTCTATGTTTAGTTCATCACGATGGAAGTCCTCAGTTGTATTAAAATTTCTTCTTCAAAAGGTCAAGTATCTATAACTGAAGTTTAACCAATATAATGAAATTAAGACTCCATTAAATTAATTCCCCCACTAGCGATATTGACATATTATTTTGAGATTTCTGCCACACACACAAAATAAAAACAAATAATTAAACTTTAAAAGCCGAGTAAAGGCTACAAATAAAGAGCACATTAGTGTTCCACTTAAATGTCACGTCTCTAAACCATGCAACACCTTTGGGTGCCTGGCCTTGAGCTGAAGGCACTGCTGGAACTCACTCCAGTGCCACCAGAAATAAACCCAGGATATTACCTACTGACAGGCAGACTTATATTGTGCCGTATCTGAAGTACTGTAGCATCTGTCAAATATTCCCCATAGGTATGCTATACATTTTGTTTTTCTCAGACCATAAAGCATTGAAGTGACTAAGCTTATCTGAGTGTGGAGTGGAGGGAGAACTTGGCAGAGCGAAAGCAGAGAGATCAGATGAGGCTCCCCTGGCTAACCATAAAGGTGCAAGAGACTGGGACACGTGGAAGTCCTCTGATGTAAATGATTGCCCAAAACTCCAGAGGAGAAAAATGTTTCTAATCTTCATAGCTGCAGACAAAATCAATGATGTAATGAAATCAGGAATGCACGCAATCCAACTTTGATATCATATTTGTATGACAGAAACAGAACACAAGTTTTAAGGGATCTGAATATCTCATTTTAAGAGCCATCTTACAAAGATTGGAGTGCTTTTTACATTTGATGAAAACAAAAGTGAAGAGAATAACCCACCTGGCTTACAAGCTGGCTGCACTTCAATCTACTGTAGGTCAGAATTTTTCCAAATGGTGACATAAAAGCATCAGATATCACAGAAAATAAGATCTGAGTACTGCAGACAACACGTCTGGAAACCTCTTCTCCACAGACTGAAGAGCTTACACCTACAGACTGGTTATTCACCCCAGAAACAGCCACCATTTCTGGGACACACTGGCCCAAGTCCTGCCTAACTGCTGACTTCTAGATGAAAATATTTTAACCCAGATTAAAAGAGATGACATAAGGCACTACTGGTCAATAAAGCTCGCCAGAAAAAAGAAGTGAAATATTTCAAGGTTTTGAAAAGTTACCGTCTTACGGTGCAACTGGCAAAAGCCCATGTTTTTTTCTATTGAGCTTCTCAATAAATCTCAAGGCATCAACCAAACTTGGCAGGAAATGTAATAAAAGTCCCTACTTGCACTCCACCACAACGTCTGCTGATATCAACACAACCTGTCAGAACATTTTGATGTACTACATTTTGTTGATCAGAAAAATTTCCAAGCATGGCCATCAAGAGGTTTTCTGCACGCAGCAATGTGTCTTACCATGACTGGAAAGTTCTTCTTGCTTATGATAATTTGAAAACTGTAAACTTGCATTCTTTACTCTTAATGCAAGAAAAATAGAAGGAAACATCTATGTTGCATCTATGTACCATTTATGTAGCTTTTATTGTTTTCAGTTGGGACAGCTGGTTAGGAAAAAAAAAAAGGCATCAACATATTTCTGCCAAATCTGCAAAATAATGAGGATATCTGTTGGTTTAATCTCAGATGGGTGCTCTAAGTCAAAACTGACAAGTTCGCTTCAACAAGTGGAAGAACCCAAGAACTGCAGTTCAGCGCCTTAACTATTTTTCGTGCAACTTTCAGCCGTGGATGAAATATATGCTCTCATGTATTTCATCTCTGGGGGCAACGAAACAGCTAAGTTTTCCACATTCCCTCATGCTAACTGGAGCAGCCACAGTATTGCTTCAGGTTCCATTAACTCTATCCTTATTTTAAGGCGATGGTCCAGTGTGCACGGCTGTACAGACAGACCGCTCCTGAAGAGCCTGGCAGATACTCATCAAAGCTCTCAGCATACAGAAGGAATGAGATTTCGTACTCTCTGACCCTTTTTTACCATGGAAAGTAGACTTTGCTTTTTGTTTTACAGTCTCTTGACTTTAAAAAACGGAAACTGAAGATGGTGTTCTTTTCCTACCCACCCCCCAAAAATTTTTCCTAAATATTGCATACCTTTAAACAGAACAGGCCTTAAGCAAGAGAGAACTTGAACACATTAAGGGATATGGTGAAACGGAAAAAGGCTTCTGTGTCAAGGATTATAAACGAGTACATTTATGAATGACAAGAGTTGCCTTAGAAAATAACATGCAATAAATAAGTGTAATAACTCAGTAAATCTTAATAACCAGGCATAGTAAAATATCGATTTCTGTCCATGCATAAGACGACAAACACATCCAGTGCTCGCAACTCAGACATTTCTCAAGCTCTTCAGCGATATTATTACTGGGGTAACAAAAAAACCCTCCGATGTTAAAAAAGTCAATGCTAGGTACCTATTTACTCTTCAGCCGTACAGTCAATGCTGGGTATCTATTTACTCGTCAGTTGTGAAGTTATGGGCTGTGTTCTTGAAGGCTTGAGACACAAGCCTGGGGCTCTGGTGAAAGGTTTTATTTGTCCTCCAAGTTTCAGCAAAACTGTGTATAACATTGCAATTTCCTACAGTCTTTCTTCCAAGGGAACCCATTACTCAGGTCAAGAAACCACAGCAGCAATCTGAACCCAAAGAATGATCAGGGCATTTGGGGGATTTTCAAAAGGTGGCTTAAGGCTCTGTTTGTGAGCTGCACAAACTTATGTGCAGATCACTCGTCTCAACCAAAGCAAAATCTGTAAAGCACTGAAAACTTTTTGCAGCTTATTTTCAGTTATTCTTCCAAAAAGGTTTAATGTCCCAAATTCCTTGTAAGCTGACAAATGCACTGAGATAGATACATACCCCCACTGGCAGAGGACAGCAAAAGGGGCCCAGGTACGATGCTCACCCTTTCTATTAGCTGCATCCCTTTATATTGCTCTCTTTCTGTAATTTACTTTGACTTTGTATTTTTCAGTTTTCCTGTGTTGATACTCACTACAACCTGTACTCAGTGTCAGTCACGTACTGAAACAGAGACAGAAACAAAATTCCTTCTACACTTCAGGAAGGAAAAAGCCACACTACTTAAACTTCTTTGAAGCCCAGACCAGTGCTAAGATATTTTCAGTTTACAGGACACTATTTTAATGCATCTCAAATCACTGTGTGTAAAATCATATTGTTTATACTATTTAAAACCCATTAAAAAATTCTGTAAATTATTCACAAAACTTTATAACTTATTTCTATATTAACTATTGTTGTAACTAGTACTATGGGATTAAGTGAAATTTAAAGTGAGAATCTGGATCAGAAAACTGTATTAAAACAGGACGATCACTGGTTTATGATACTGCCCATTTATTTTATAAATGTTGTTACTGAACATGGAGTGTCACAGAATCTGAAACACAGTGTTTGCAATTCTGTTGTCCCTCATTCTCAGGAAATATGATCCTGACTGACCTGGGCTGCTGGTAACTCAACTCAGTATTTTTCCACTGTTGGTCCTTCTGTGCATAGGAACAGAAAGTATGAAATCAGTATCTCTTCTAAAATGTATAGAACGTACCAGGAGATGGAACCAAAGAGGAAAGATAAACATTCAAAGATTTTTTTTTTTAATTACTGAAATTCAGAGGCACAATAATATTGACAAGATTTTTTAAAAAATTATATTACTTCCCCAATATAAATAAAGCAGCAGCTAATTTTCAGCTGAAAGGAACAGCAAGTCCTCAGGGAAAGTGCACAAATACTTCAAAGTATTTTTTATTTACTGCCACTTACCAAATCAAATTCTTGCCATCAGTGAGCAGAACTGTTTCAGTCTCTGCAGACAGTTTGTTTATTATCCCCCAACCTTTCCTGGGGGGTGCCAG